CAAGAGAGCACTGAGATGGTCTTCTTCAATTGGTAAAGGTACTCTTGCTGCCAAGCCTGAGTTTTCTTTTTCTTGTAATAAAAATATAGGTGATGCTTCGAAAACAAAAGCAGAACCAGACACTTAGTAAATACTGTTATGATTGTTCTGTGTCCCTTTATTATCATTAACACCATGCTATAAACAATGAATCTGAATGGTTTCCTAAACCTTTCCAGCACTAATATAACTCTATTTTCTTATAAGATATATAATATAACAATGTAGAAAATGTATGTGTACTGCAGTCTTAATTTAATTTTCTTTTCTTTTTATGGTTTTTCAAGGCAGGGTTTCTGTGTGTGACAGCTCTACCTGTCCTGAAACTTGCTCTGTAGGCCAGGCTGTCCTCGAACTCACAGAGATTCCCCCTGCTTCTGCTTCCTGAGTGCTGGGATTAAAGGCATGTGACACCACAGTGAGGCAAACTTACAATTTATATGGATGCACAAATGACCTAAATAGCCAAAGCAATCTTAAACAAAATGCTTAGGATAGTAATGCTGAAGGTATTCCAAAATACTACAGAGCAATAGTAACAACAACCAAACAACAGTACTGGGTATAAAAATCAGACACATAGACCAACGGAATAGAATAAAAAACCCAGAAATAAATCTACACATCCATAATCATCTGATGCTAGACCCCCCCAAAAAAACCCAGTATGTTTCAGTATAAAATAACTCCCAAAGGTTATGTGGGCTATGTGTTGATGGCTTGTCCCTAGTTGGCAATGCTAAAAGTAATTGAATTATGAGGATTATACTCAATACTTAATCCATTCATGCTTTTAAAACTTTGTATTATTTGTAAATGATAGAAAACATGAGTCAGGGCCTGTGTAGAGGAAGTCGATCAGTGGCAGCATGAAGGTATATATATTCAGAAGGCACATCTTGTCCATGGCCTGTCATTGTTTATCCCTGTGTCTCTTATACACCACCATGTGGTGAGCCACTCCATTCCCTGACATGCTCTTCCCCACAATGCTCTGCTTCACTGGAACCAACAGACAGGTGGCCACAGTCTAAAACTCCTGAAACCAGAAACCAAATTAAATCTTCCCTCTATCAAGTTGATTTGCTCAAATATTTAGTTCAAATGATGAGAAGTATCTAATGCATATATACTGGGGAAAGATCATCCTTGACAATAAATGGCTCTGGGAAAACATTGAAAATATATCCCTAGCTCTCACTAAACAAACCTCAACTCAAAGTGGTACAGAAACTAATGGTGGAACTGTAATTCTGAAACTCTTTGAGGAAAATATGTAAAATACTTTAATGACCCTAATAGTTCAGGAAATAAAATCGAGATGAGACACATCGCCAGGCGTTGGTGGCGCACGCCTTTAATCCCAGCACTCAGGAGGCAGAGGCAGGCGGATCTCTGTGAGTTCGAGACCAGCCTGGGCTACATAGTGAGTTCCAGGACAGGCTCCAAAGCTGCACAGAAAAACCCTGTCTCAAAAAAAAGGTGTGAGACATCTTGATAACAAATTAAAATTCATCTGCAGAATAAAGAAACAATCAACAGAAGAAACTGACAACTGATAGAATGAGAGAAAAACCTCTGCTAGTTTTGAATGAGAGAGGATTCACATCTAAAATATACAAAGAACTCAAAAAAGTTAAAAGCATATGAGCGATTCAATCACTAAATGTGAAAATGATGTGAACACACACTACTGAGAAGAAGAAATACAACTGCTCCAGTAAATACATGGAAAATGCTCAGTTTTCAGCCACTATAGATGTACAAGAGAAATCTATTATTCTATCTTAGCCTCGTCAGAATGGCATGTATAATAAATAAAAATATAACACAATACACTGAGATGAATATGGAGAAAAAAAGACTGCTGATGTACTGCTGGTAGGAAAGTAAACTAGTACATAGAAAGCAGTATAGAGATTCCTTAAAGAAAACTAAAAAATATGATGAATGTGGTATTGGATGTTTATAATCCCAGCACCTGGGAGTCGAAAGTTATCAGAAATTCAAGGTCAGCTTTAGCAACATAGTAAGTTTGAGGTCAGAGGTTGGTTACATGAGATCCCATGTCAAAAAAGAAAAAAAACAACAACCAAAGCAAACAAACAAAATCAAAGGGGCTGGTGATGTAACTAATTTGGTAGAGTATTTGTATCTCACCCATGATGCCTTTAATACCTAGCACTGCAAAACTAGGCACAACAGCACACTTACTTGGAAGGTTTCTGTTTTGCTAGACTGTTTTTGGTTTTAGGCTAAGAACAACAGGGCCAAAACCCGTAAGTGATCTTCTCTTTCTTGTATCTTTTCTCTCTCTCCCCCAGCCTCCTCTCTCATAGTATATGTGTATACAAGTGTGTGCTAGAGCTGGAATGAGGGGGTGGGGTGGGGGACAGACCTGTATGGATCCTGCGATGAGCTTTCAGGTGAGAGCTTTTGGTGTACACTTTGCTGCATCCTGCAAAGTCACACTGGTGAATCCGTCTTCTCTTCAAGTCAAGAGAGTCTTCTCCCTGCATTTGGGCCATTGTTGCTGGTCTAAGCAAAGAAAGTAAGATAAGACCAATTACAGTGGTGGTATTTCATACCATCTTATCATTTATGCAAATTTAATGCTAGCTCCCAAAGAGAAGAAATGGTAGGAACAATGAAGCAATAGTTTCAACTGGGCCAGTCTGCTTAGGAAATGCAGCTCCCTGAGAAAGCATCAGAGTGGTAATTTTTCCTTGAGTAGTTACGTTGTCAAACAGTAGGAACATTTCACTTCAACAAGGGCCACCCTGGTGCTTAACAAAATGCATTTTTCATATAACATGTTTGCTCAATACAAGCTAATTGCTTCTAATCCGTTTCAAGATTAAAATACTGGGCTATTTTAAACTTAGAGAGAAAAACACTACAAAAAGTATAACTTTTGGGAAAGTGGAATAATTTTTTCAAGAATAGAATTCATGATACATTAGGATGTAATTCTATCATAATATGCATGAACAGACACTTATATGTCCACACACTTACATAGTTCCTAGGGAAAGCAGTTAGCTTGTATTTTGTTTTCCTCAAACTTTTGCTGTTGTGTTCTGTTTAATTCTAAACACACACACACACACACACACACACACACACACACACACACACACACACACACACACTCACACTCACACACACACACACACACACACACACTCTAAGTACTTACTCTTGGTGCAATCCATGCAGACCCTGTAAGGCTGAAGATCCACTCTCAATTGCACTCTCATCACTATCACTTGGAAACTCCAGTGGAGACATGGAGGTGGGGTCAACTTTGACTAAAAGCAAAGAAAGGGAGCACTGTAGACCAAGATGTATGCACCTCTACAATTATTTTCACCTCAACAATTATTTCAGGATTTCCAGTTTGGCCCATATTAAGAAGTGAAGACAGAAAATCATTTTTAAGCGGGTGTTGGTGGCGCACGCCTTTAATCCCAGCACTCTGGAGGCAGAGGCTGGCGGATCGCTGTGAGTTCGAGGCCAGCCTGGTCTCCAGAGCGAGTGCCAGGATAGGCTCCAAAGCTACACAGAGAAACCCTGTCTCGAAAAAGAAAGGAAGGAAGGAAGGAAGGAAGGAAGGAAGGATGGAAGGCAGGAAGGTAGGAAGGAAGGGCAAGTAAAAACAAAAGAAAGAAAGAAAGAAAGAAAGAAAGAAAGAAAGAAAGAAAATCATTTTTAAAAAGAAAGAGGAGGAAGATAGTAACCAATAAACATTTTTTGTAGCATAAGAGGGAACAGAAGTGTCTTTGAAGGAAGGGTAGCAAGACTGTTCTTGCATCACCAGGATGTGAATTTCTCTAGAACCCAATCTAAGTGTGATGTATCCATCCCTCTACATGTATCATCCCAGCTCCTTGGAAGGGTCTGCAGAAAATATGGGTTCAACGTATTTTGGGTACACTGAAGTCTCTGAACAGTCCCCTGACTGTCTTGAGAAAATTCTTGGAATTATCAGTTACAATACTCAAGGCCAATTGTAAGTTCAAGGCCAGCCTGTTCTACAGAGCTAGTTCCAGAACAGCCAGGGGTACAAACAGAGACCCTGTATTGAAAAAAACTAAAAAAGAAAAGAAAAAGTTGAATGTAGTATTTCAAACCATGTCAGAACCAACAGATTTTCTTTGATCATTTCTGATGATGAACTAAAATACATGTAATTCTGGAAAGGGAACTGTTGTTGAGGGCAATGAAAGATGGGGCTTAATTTATTCCTTCTGAATTCTGAGCTCACCTCAAAAGTTAAATAAGATAGGACTGGTGACACAGGCCTGAAACCCCAGCTACTGAATAGGCTGATGCAGAAGAATCATTAAGTTCAATATCTGCTTGGGTAATATGTTTAAAGACAGTCTGAGTAACCTCATGAAACTGTATCAGTATTAGAGTACTTGTTTGACATGTGTGAGACCCTAAATTAAACTAGCAGTACCACAAAACATAAATGGATAGATGATAGTATATGAAACTCTTCTGAGCAAATTTTCAGCCTTTTTTGTTCAAAAAATGATCTGCGGTTAAACAACTACTAGGGAGCCCTGTGGTGGGTGTCCCTGGAGAGGTGCACAGTCACATCATAAGAGTGTTCTTGAGAATCGCCAACCCAGTTAGGGAAAATGGACTCATACTCTTGAAAGCAAATAAAATCTTAAAGCAATAAAATCTTAAAAGGAAGGTCACAGATGTCAAATAAAGGACTGTCCAGGAAACATGGCAATATTGCAGAGACTTTTCTATAGAGAATAGGGAAGGTGTGGTAAGAGGCCAGAGCTAAGCTTGGCCAAGTTATGGTAGTGTTAAGAATATTATGTTTTCTATCAAAGAACTCCTAATGGCACAGGAAAAAATATAGGACAATAACCTAGGAAGTCACAGGGATGGACAATTTCTTAGTGAGTGTAAACTATTTTTTTGAGTTTATAATTTAACTGTGTTCAAATTTTGCATTTTGCTTTAAAACAGCAATATTTTAAATATAATGCTCTCAATTCTTTACTATCAAATAATAGCATATGAAAATTCTAGGAAGATACATAATATTTCAGTCAAGAATATGCATACCTGTTTGAGAACATGGTCTAAAGGAGATCAATTATAGGTTCTTTCGTGACAAGGTCTCCTTGGGTAACCCGGACCATGGTGTGGCCTGGAACTTGCAGTCCAAGGCTAGCCTGTGACTCATAATCATCCTGCCCCAGCCTCTCAAGTGCTGAGATTACAGGTATGTGCCAAAACACATGGCTCATATATATTCTTAAGCATTACACAGAAATAATTTTAAAACCATGTTTTAAAAAGTGATAATTAAAACAAGTCCCCTTTGAAACAGTGCCCCTCAAAATTGGAAGAGGTGAAAAGAGACATGATAGAATGGCTCAGAAAAGCAGCTCTCTGTAGGCAAATGACTGTAGGAAGCTGTACACCCTGCACTCACCTGATCCAGCATTTTTGCCATCTCCTCCAATGAGTGGAACAGTAATAGCTGCAGGACTCCCATCTGCAGGCAAACTGGTATAGACCATAGGCAAAGACTGAACCACCAGTGGGATTGTCTTTAGTCCGCCCATCTTATTTGGCAAACCGACTGACGGGATAGTGTGAATCACATGTAAAATCGGCTGGCCCCCGGTCCCCTGAGAGGAGGCCAGGATAGAGCCTGGAGTGAGAACAGTAGGAATGGTTGCTGAGGTGCCTGTGTCAGATGAAGTAGACACCACAATGGCCTGGGCTGCAGACGGTGGCTTGGGAGGGCGTATTGGAGCTTGCAGCATGCTAGCAGGCTGGAGAGGAGCCTTCGGCTTGTGAAATGAGAGATCAACTGGTTCCACCTGTGGCAGGTTGAAATCACTAGCCAGGAGTTCTTCTGGTGGCTCAATCTTGATATCATTAAACAGGGCTGGGTTCTCCATTGAGCTGGCATCCAGGAGTGGTGAAGTCATATTACTTCTGTCTGCCGTCACAGAGCGATTTCTGGTCTGAACAGGGCCAGTGACCTAAAATAAACAATTATGAGGCAAGAAAGCCACCATTAGTACTCTAAAGAGATATGGGAACAATGAAAGAAAGAAATCTCTATGCTCATGGAAATGATGCATCATACTGAAAGAAATGAGACTGTAATGCATGGAAGAAAGAAAAGGAAAAAAATGTTACTAAGCACCACTGTCAAGTATTGGCACTGCTATATCATACAATTGATAAAAATTCTTGACTTCAATTTTCACAAACATAGATCTAAAATGAAACTCAATTTTAACTTGAAAAATACACTATAAGGATATTCATTTGGAAAATAGCTCTTCAATAAAAAGGAAAGCAGAAACCATTTACACAATCTTCCTGCAAAAGCATTGTGCTAAGTTCAGTGACAGCAGTTATGAATAGGACAGCAAAGCATATACTAACTACAATATTAGTATAATATGAGTAGCTTGCAAGTCATACTGAAATAAGTGATATGACATATAAACAAAAAGCTCCAGGGAAACAAACGAGGAAGTACATGTAGTACAGTGGTATATAACTTGCCTAGTAAAATCAAGGCCATAGGTACTATTCCCAATGTAAAAAAGGTTTGTTGGGGTGGGGGTGGAGAGAGGTTAGGTAATCTGTTCTATCTACACAGGGAAGGCTTTAAGAAGGTGACATTTTTAGATGAGCCAGATAATTAATAGGCTTTCTCAAGGAGAGAAAGAAGAATAACACTTCTATTTGCAACTTTATGTTAGCAAATAATAAGCACAAGGAATACGATACAGGGTAATTAGTTGAATTTACATGCAACATTAAAGTTTGTAAGTTATAAATTGTGGGATATTTTTAAAAAAAATATGAGGTGAGAGGATCATGAGTTTGTGGCCAGCCTGAGACACATAGTAAGACTTGGTCTGTACACACAGAGAGATAGAGATATAGAGAGATAGAAACACAGACATAGACTTGTACTCCCATGTTCACTTCAGCTCTATTTACAACAGCCAAGACATGGATGGAATCTGTCTAGCAACTGATAAAAGGATAAAGAAAATGTGATACGTATACTCCATAGAATAGTATTCATCCTAAAAAAGAATATAGTCCTGTTATTAGTTCAACATGGATGGAATTTGAAGATCTTTATTTTAAGGAAAATAATGGAGGTACAGAAAGACAAACACCACAAGATCCTACTCACGTGTGGAATCTTAAAAAAAAAAAAGACAAAACAACTCAATTTTTAAAGTTTGAAGCAGAAAAATTTACTACCAGAGCTTAGAGACAATGGAAATAAGATGGGTAAAAACCAATCAATGGGAACTCAGCTACAGTTTGATGAAGCAAAGAACCCTGGAATCCTATCACATAGCATACTGTGTGGCTTCATATAACACTTGGCTGGAGAGATGGCTCAGCCATTAAGAATGTTTCCTGCTCTTGAAGATGACCTAGTTTCAGTTCCTAGCACCCACATAGCAGCTCACAAGCCACCTGGAATTTCACCATCAGAGGGACCCAACATCCTCTTCTGCCTCTAAAAACACTGCATGTACATGTACTCATGCAGACTCACATGCATAAAAATAAGTAAAAATCAAAATACAAAATATTTTGAGAATTTCATAACATAGTAAATATGGGGTTGGAAAAACAGGTCAGCAGTTAAGAGCACTGGCTGCTCTTCCAAAGGTCCTGAGTTCAATTCCAGGCAATCACATGGTGTAACAAACACAATCACCTATCTATGGTGGGATCTGGTGCCCTCTTCTGGCAAAAAGGTGTATGTGCAGATAGAGCACTCACACATAAAATAAATAAATCTTTAAAAAAATGATAGATGTTTGAGTAAATCACTATGGTTAACATAAGCTGTACATTATTTAATGTACACAGACATCCAAGCATGATGTGCCATCACATTAAAGTATATGAACTTTGCTTTTAATTCAGCAGTTAAAATACATTCAAAATGCTAAAATGGTCATTGAGTATGCAATATAAACATAAAAGTTCCAACCTAATTAAAATATTTCAAAAAATTAGATCAAATTAGATGTCAAGGATGTTGTGTACTGTGTATAGAATAGCCGAGAAATATAAATCATGAAAATGGCCTTGGGAGACGGCAGTACCACCTCAGACAATAATCAGAGCAAGTCTCTGTTCTCTGACAACATACTGGAATTATGAAGTTTTAAACCATGAGAGATGTTCAAAATACTTACTTTATAAGTGAAAGGGGTAAACTAAAGTAAAAGGCTTCACTCCTAGGAAAGAAGGGACCAGACCCTCACTCAGCCCCTGCTTTAGCAGCCATGACAGGCTACAGAAAAGACACAAGGAAACTCCAGATCCTCTGACCTCCTGGAGCCTAGGGCCAAAACTAAACACAAAGAAACTCCAGATGCCTCCTAGGTACTTGGTTCCTGGGAACTGTCTGGCCACAAAAGAAACTCCAGGGGAGACCAAAACCTCTCCTATAGTCTCCAGGATACAGTTCTAAAAACTATTCATATCTATGTACAACAGGCCGCCTGCAAGTAACAAGACAAAGCCATAGAAACCACAGAATATTTCCTCTCAGCAGTGACCATTGAGAATACCTGGTACACAGGTATTTCATGACAAAATATGACTTTGAGAGATTTTCCTGATTGTTTCCAAATGTCAACCAATCAGAAACTAACCCATACCTACTGAAGTAATCCTGTAACTTTTGTCTTTAAAACCTAGCAGTAGACAGGGAACTTCACCCCCTCTGGAGGCTGCTGTGTCAGCTTGCTAAACGGGATCCCTCCTGAGGAAGGATGGACAATTTAATAAACCTCATGCATTTGCATCAGTGGTCTGTCTCCCTGGTCTCTTTGGGGATCCTTGTGACTAGGGCACAACATTTGGGGGCTCATCCCAGGATCCCGAGAGACCCTCTGGACCCCAGAACCCCAGAGGTTTTCATCACCCAGCTGGGTAAGTTAGATTGTTCTCGTTAATTTTCCTTTTTCTCTGGCAGGTATCTCTGATTCAAACTCTGTACAGGTCACAAGTACCTAGGCGGATGCGCTAATTGGTAGACCTGAAGGAACCAAGAGACATCCCTCTTCCTGATCCGGATGGGGGCCCATGTGGGGCCTTCCCATCGGGATCCCTGGATCCTATTTGTTCTTCTGATGTTATGAGGATGATGAGCCCCTGGCAGACCTTCATCCTATCTATACAGTTTTTGGCCTAATATAGCATGATCAAAGGCGACCCTCCGCAGAACTCTGAAACTCTGTCTTGGAATTCTGATCATGTCTTGGGCCCCTTTCTTTTGTCTAAGTGATGTGTTTGTTTGTTTGTCTTGTTTTGTCTCGTCTTGAGGGTACTGACAACACAGACCTGACTGGGACGAAACCTAACATGGGACAGACACCCTCCTCCTCTCTAGATCTCTGCCTGGTACCTTGAAAGGACATGAAACAGATAATCTGGGATTGTGGCTAAAAATGTTGGAGAAATTTTTTTTTTCTTTCACATATCTATGTACAACAGGCCGCCTGCAAGTAACAAGACAAAGCCATAGAAACCACAGAATATTTCCTCTCAGCAGTGACCATTGAGAATACCTGGTACACAGGTATTTCATGACAAAATATGACTTTGAGAGATTTTCCTGATTGTTTCCAAATGTCAACCAATCAGAAACTAACCCATACCTACTGAAGTAATCCTGTAACTTTTGTCTTTAAAACCTAGCAGTAGACAGGGAATTTCACCCCCTCTGGAGGTTGTTGTGTCAGCTTGCTAGACAGGGTCCCTCCTGAGGAAGGATGGACAATTTAATAAACCTCATGCATTTGCATCAGTGGTCTGTCTCCCTGGTCTCTTTGGGGATCCTTGTGACTAGGGCACAACATTTGGGGGCTCATCCCAGGATCCCGAGAGACCCTCTGGACCCCAGAACCCCAGAGGTTTTCATCACCCAGCTGGGTAAGTTAGATTGTTCTCGTTAATTTTCCTTTTTCTCTGGCAGGTATCTCTGATTCAAACTCTGTACAGGTCACAAGTACCTAGGCGGATGCGCTAATTGGTAGACCTGAAGGAACCAAGAGACATCCCTCTTCCTGATCCGGATGGGGGCCCATGTGGGGCCTTCCCATCGGGATCCCTGGATCCTATTTGTTCTTCTGATGTTATGAGGATGATGAGCCCCTGGCAGACCTTCATCCTATCTATACAGTTTTTGGCCTAATATAGCATGATCAAAGGCGACCCTCCGCAGAACTCTGAAACTCTGTCTTGGAATTCTGATCATGTCTTGGGCCCCTTTCTTTTGTCTAAGTGATGTGTTTGTTTGTTTGTCTTGTTTTGTCTCGTCTTGAGGGTACTGACAACACAGACCTGACTGGGACGAAACCTAACATGGGACAGACACCCTCCTCCTCTCTAGATCTCTGCCTGGTACCTTGAAAGGACATGAAACAGATAATCTGGGATTGTGGCTAAAAATGTTGGAGAAATTTTTTTTTTCTTTCAGAAACACTGGCAGCCAAGGGCACTCTGTGCTCACCAGCACTACTCTTCTTCCCTGCCTTCCTAATTATGTCAGTCTATATACTTTGGGAAGCCTTAAAAGTCAAAGATTCATTGTGTTTTATGAAAAACTATGCTTTTACTTCCACAGGAAAAAAATATATAGGTTAATAGTCATTTATGGTGGCTGCACATAAGCATCTCCCATGAGAGATGGATCACTCCAGCTGCTGGCTGCAGGCCAGTACTCCCCTGCTGGATCCTGATGCCTAGACACAGTCTTTCTGCACTGCACTTCGCCTTGGGCAGCTAACAGCCAACTCAAGTGGAATGGCCAAGGTACAGGTTTTAGTGGGTTAATATGATATTAACCATCCTTTTGTGTGCTAGTCATTTGTCATCTGTATGTCCTTGGTACTAAAATGACTGTTCATGGCTTTTGCCCATTTTCTACTTGGATCATTTGTTCATGTCACTGTCAAGTTTTATATAGGTTCTCTATCAG